GCCCGCCCTCCTCCACCCCCTCCTTTGCCTTGGCCTCCTCCGCGTGAATCACCACCACCACAGCCGTCGACCCCATATAGGCCCAGTGCCGGACCTTGACCACTGCCTCGTCCACCACCCGGAAGGCCGTCGCCAACGCCTCCGTCACCTTTTCCTGTCCAAGCCTTCGCATGTCCGCGTCCGGCAATGCCGCCAAGAATTGAGCGTTCAGATTCTGTCGGAGGTATTTCGAAACAGCTGCTCCCCCATGCCCATCGTAGACGCCAGCGAAAGACCCGTCCTTGGAAATAAAAAAATCGTCCTCCATGTAGGACCTCTGTCCTTTGAAAGCGACGACGGACGTGGTGTAGGGCCCGCCAGCGCCGCCGCTGGCCTTGGAGGAGCCGGTAGGGGAGGAGGTGGAAGACGAAGAGCGCCGTATGCTGTGGCCTTTGCCTGGGTAGATCGAGGTGACAGAAGTAGCCCCCCTTCCAGCCGTGCCGTCGGAATCACGCCGTAAGGGGAATTTTATGAAACGGGGCTGAGAGTCTTGGCCATCGGTGGACGAAGAGGAGGAAGGCGAGGAGGAGAAGGAGGAGGAGGAAGGAGGGGGGGGAGGAGGTAATGGTGCCTCACACGACGCTGATGCGGACCCACGGGCTAGACCTCCCATGTAATATGCGGACGCTAAGGCGGCCGCAGTGGTGAATATCGAGCGTCGGTACGAGCCTGCCCCGGCAAGGCCATTGTAATAAAAGTGCATGCCAAGGTAGGGAGACTGAGAAGGAGGGAAAGGGAACCCAGGCACAATCGACGGCGCGTTCCTCCTCCGGTTCGCTGTGCAAGTTAAACCCACGATCCTAAGAGTAAGGGCGTTGCTGAGCTGCTGGTGACGGTTATGCCTCGTCAGATGCCGGGCTGTCATTAAGCCCCGGGCCCCCAATCTAAGTTTTGGCTGCTAAGAGCGGACGTGTGCGGCTTATGCAACAATGAAATCTTCAGCCGGACGAGAAGCGCACAGAAACCTATTATCAGCACACTGATGATGACTGTCAAAGGCTTCGTCAGTTTGCTCGGTCTCACTCTCAAAACGTAGGGCCTCGGGCAGCTACAGAGGGGGCAGGGAGGAGGCTATCTCGGAGGGCAGGCTCCAGGGTACTTCACAACCTGCGTCAAAGCGTGAAGTGGTGGGGTTCCCGTCCTGTGACAAGTGTCGAGTAGTTAGGAAACCGGCCAGATGTTCTTTCTTCCTTCTTTCCGGGCAGCATGCCAGGGACAATGTGGCAGCCTGGTTGATGTTTCCCAAGGGCAGAAGTCAGATCCGAGCCGCTCCTCTCTTTCCTTCTCAGAGGGCGGTGCACCGACGTCTACAACACCAGGAAAGCGGAACAGAAATATACTCAGCGAGGTGGCATTATTCACAAAGCAAGATTTGCAGCTGTGATTTGGTTTGCTTCGTGCTTCAGCTTTGTTTTTTCCCCTCTCCCCCACTTTGTATTTTCTTCCTCCCGGACCCTCCTTTTTGCCCCCCACTCCCACCCCCTCTACCACCGGCACCGTCTGTCCTCGTGTCCCCTCCCATAAGGTCTTTTAACATTGACGTTGGATTTGTTGTCTTCATTTGCTCCTCTAATGACCTCCGCTCATCCTCGCTCAGTCCATCCATGGCTTTGGGAAGGAAAAAGGCCGCGGCGACAGAGACAAGGAGCATCCACGTCATAGGCGACATAAGCTGGGCACGAAGAGCTGCCCAAGCGTCACGTTTTTCAAAATAATTGTACTCACTGTGCGCCCGAAGGATGATGGGATGCGATATCTTGACCTTAGGTGCTCCTGATGTGTGATCCGAACATAAGATGATAATAGAGCGCAGCAGGAATCAGATTTCAGAGTCAATCTACTACATCGCAGAGCAGTGCCCCCTTCCCTTTTTGAAAGGCACGCCGACGATCGTATTGCCTCCAGGAAAAGGGCATTGCTAATATCGCACGTACCAGGATACGCGTATTCAAGGCAAACAACCTTGTCTGCCACCTCCGAGGCTTCAGGACGGACATTCAATTTCACCTGCGAATGACCAATTACAAGATGAAGGGAAAGGGGAAGGAGGCCGGTTCAAGATGAACACGAGTGAGCTTAATGAGACACCCCTGCGGAAAGGTCAAGGTGAGCTCGGCACATTCCTCAGCCTAAGTCTACAGCAGCAAATTATATGCACCATGCCTCGTGATTCCTCAACCGTCGGGGAACGTACCTGGCTGAAGTAGTACTTGGGTGAAACGACGTCGAGAAGATACGTCCCTGCGGTCAAAGGGAATCAAAAAGAGAGATAAGGCACTATGTAAGACGAGGATGCGTCACACCTATCGTTATCATCTACCGTATCAGTACATTACCCTTCCTCAGTGCCCCAAGCTCGGCTTACCTGTCGGTACGTCCACAAAGCGAAAGCTTCCGTCCGCGGCAGAAAGCGTGGCATACATCCCTCCATTGAGAATCACCTTGGTAGGGGGTGGTGCATCCACAGGCCCTAGTACAATGCGTCCCTCTATGGCCAACGCATGGGTAGGAGTAAGAATGCCAAAGAGATGCAGAAGGAACCACAGGGAGAGGAGGAGGGGCAGGCCACATGGCAGCCTGCTATTCATCTTCATGCCACCCAACACAAAGCCCTGAATTGTGCCATGCGAAGATATGGGAAATGTGATGAAAAAGGATGTAGCGGTGAGTATACCGCGGTCAGAGACCACACATAAACCATCAAACGCTCTCGGGAAAGCCAGTTTCTGGTTCATCCTGATAGGTGACCCTGACATGCGAAATCAGCCACGAAAGGGCCCAGTGGCCTATCAATTGACGCGATACCTCAAAACCCGACACAGCTGCACACGTTCTTTCCCTTCCAGCAAGTAATTTTGATGTGAGTGTGGTCGTACGCTGGTCCACGCCGTCCTGTCGGCGTTGTGGACTCGCTGATCCCGCATCACTTGCCTTGCGGCGACGACCTTCTCTGTAGCCTCAGTACCACATGGCAAAAGAACTGTGGACTTTAACCCTGTCATTTTCCCTTCTCTCGACGCGCACACACTCGCATACCCATCCCCTTCAATCATATACTCGTTGATAGCATTCCGTGGGCACCTTCTGTTTCCTCGTACACCATCGTGGCACCTTGGCGAAGGCCCATTTGAAGCCTCTTTCTGGAGCACGCCGTCTCTTGAGCCAAACCCGCATCGATATAAAGGCATGTTCTCCCTCTGCATCTCCATTCTGCTATTCTGTTCCCTATCCCGCACCGTGGAAGCGCGCGGGTGTCAAGTCAGAAACCATGCCGGGCGGCCCGTTGACTTCTATTGGATGGACGTTGTGAACTGGGGGACCTACATTACTCAAACTCCCGTGCCCATGCCGAATGAGACATCCTTTGCCCTTAAAACATACGAGTCACATCGATTTTTCGTCGCCTGGGGGGATGAAGCTGGCGAAGTGCAATCGTGGGACCCGAACAGCATTCCTTTGAACGCCCAGTTTGTTCACCGTGGGTACGATCAAGTCGTCACGGCGTTGGTAGATAAAAATGGGCAGCTTTATCTTCAGGACTGGGACGTTCATGAATGGGGCATGGACCGCCTTGTTCAGGCCATTGAGCAGTGCAATCTGACCACGTCTGGAAATGTGGAAAAGGAAGATGCACAGGCCCGCTGTGTCATGAAGCAAGCAAACACAATCATTTCCCGGTTTAAGCGGGAGCGAGACAGTATCAAGGCCCAGGTCGACAAGATGCAGACACGCATGGCAGGATCCTTTTGCACCGGGACGGGGCGATTTCAAACCCCTGCTAGGCGTACCTTTGAATGGGAGGGACGACAAGTGAACGTCTTGGCCGATACAGGCAACGTAAGCGTCTTCCACCTGCCCGCGTTCCTCGACGTTTCGGGGACCACCAACTTGATAACGGGTGCCCCGCCCAACGGCACCCGGTACCTGGAGGTCTTCCCGAACCCCAAGATGAAGTTTGACGCCTCCCTAGTGGAGGCCCAGGCCTGGGGTCGCGCGTTTGTTCAGTCTCAATTGGGAGGGAGCATGCAGGATAAGACAAGCGACAAGGAGCCATTGCGCATCTTTCGCTACGACAAGAAGGAGTTTCATGCTCCCCCTTGTGATGGCATCTGCCAGAAATTGCTCCTGCCCTCGGCTGAGTACGCCGCTACCCTCATCATGTACCCCCAGCACTCCAAACAGGCCGACCGCGACCGCACGGCCTGGTATTTTACCACTGAGGACGCAAATACCGATATCGGGTTTACCTCGCAAGGCAACGACGCCGTTCTCTTCCTTTACAAGAACCCAACCGTCGGCTATGCCCCTGCTTTGCTTCCCCAGCTGATTCCATGCATATCCATGTCCAAAGAGATGTTTGTATCCTCTACGTGGATCCGTCGACCGGTCGATGAGAAGGAGAAGCGAGCAGAAGGTAGTTCCAACTCCAGGGTGGAAGACGAACTTTAGGAGAGCAAGAAGATGGCCACGGGCTCCTCCTGCTTGGTCGCATTAGGCGGGAAAAATCCAAGAAGAAGCGGATAGAAAGCAATGGGCCAGGCGCATGGGCGCTCATTCGAATGCATCTCACTTCACTTTTTGCAAAGGAAAAGGTGTCGCACGTATTTCTTTCTTTAAGCTCGTTTGTTCCATGTTAATGTGAGGGCAAACCCACCACAAGCTTATCCATTTCCTGCCGCGGACACTCGCGGAATATCATTGTGCTCCGTGAGCACCGACAAGTACTGATTGAACTCATCGATGCGCTCTCGGTGGCTCTTACTTACCAGTTTCTTGATATTCTGCCGCTCACGTTCCTTTAACTTGGCAATGTGACGTCGTTGGGTTTCCGTCAAACCATCGTCCTTTTCAGAGGGGAAAGACGAGGTATCTGAAATGCTTTCATTTCCCCCCCTTTCCTCTTGCTTCTCATGGGTAAGGACGGCGTCTCCCTCGTGGTGCGAGCGCTCGTCGCGCTGACGCTTCTTCTTCTTCCTACAAATACGCAGAAAGAACTGAATAAGTATCCAAAAACATGGACCGGAATGTAGACAAAGCGTAACATTATATCACATCCATACACCAACCACCTACAACTTCATCGTTTATTTTCGAAGCATCAATGCCCGAATCAGGTGCGTCCAAATCTGCAAGGGTCTCCCACTAGGGAGCGGCCATGTACGTACTTGTCTTTTGTAGGAAGCCCTTTCAGCTTCAGCGCTCCGCCGACAGGCATGAGAATGCTGTAGAGTCGTGCAAGGTGGGTGTGTAACGTGTCAACACGGGTCTTATTGTGACATTTCCGGTGACAATCACGGGGCACTATCTCGAAC